CCGGGCACACAGACGCTTCTTGGGCAGACGATGTCGAGGCTCTGCGGTCCTCCGAGGCCTACTGCATTAGCCTTGGTTCAGGTGCTGTCTCGTGGCGGTCCACCCGCTCGTCGTCTGTTGCCCAGTCTAGCTGTGACGCTGAGATCTACGCTGGTTCCATGGCGGCACAGGAGCTCCGTTGGCTGACTTTCTTGCTCACAGACTTAGTGAGCGGCCTAGCTCTGCCCTGGTCCTGTACAATGACAACAAGGCCATGATCCTCCTGTGTCAGGAGCTTAGACTCAAGGGCAGAGAAAAGCACATCCAGCTGCGGTACTTCCTCGTGCGCGAGCTACAACAGCGTTGCCAGGCCCGCGTAGTACACTTGGCCTTCGGTGCCAACACAGCTGACATCTTTACGAAGGCGCTTGCGCCTAAAGATCCTCAGCGGCACTGTGTACAGCTTGGTCTTGTTCCAGTAGCCTCTCATTTGCTAGGACCTTGATTGTGTACAGCCACGTTCTGGCCGCGTTGGCTTGCGAAACTGTTCTCTCTCTCTCTCTCTCTCTCTCTCTCTCTCTCTCTCTCTCTCTCTCTCTCTCTCTCTCTCTCTCTCTCTCTCTCTCTCTCTCTCTCTCTCTCTCTCTCTCTCTCTTAGTGCCGATGTCAATCTATGTTACAAAAAATACAGATTTTCCTCCTGTCGTTTTGTTTGTGACTAGCCATCTCACATTCGCTGGCTCTGATCTCCAATCATGGACCATCGGTGGTTTTCGCTGGCGAATGGTGTCGCCCTTTGTGCTTTCTATTATGCTTTATCCAACCTCTCTGTGGGCGTTATGCTGGGTGCAGGGCCTCAGATTCCTTTTGGGGCACGCTGATCGCTCAGGGTCCCCCCCCCTTTCCTCACTGTTTTTTCAGGCCTCGCAAAGAAACTTACACTGATCAATCAGGGTGTTGTAAAGATTTTGCGCTGAATAAATAGAGTTACCTACAAAAAACACACTGTTCAACTATATGCCCATTATTACTATCTTTTCTAAAGACAAGGGCTTACAATCTAACACGGGCATACTAGGACCTACTTAAGCATCCTCCTCTGCCTGCACGCTATCATGGTCTACAGGGGAATCTTCCTCCTTCTCTTTCCCCTTCCAGCTCTTCTGGGCTTTGCTCTGTGGGGCAGTGCTGTAGGGCTTCCTCTTCTTGTAGGCTCTCCAGTTGTCAAGGACGGCATCCCAGTCCGGGTCGTAGTCTAGCAGACTCACACACATCAAATCTCCTAGGGGTGAGTCCTTCATGCTGCCCCGCAGCCAGCTCTTAATCACATTCTGGTGGGAAGACCCACGTTCACATTCCACTGTGCTCAGGGGAAGAACTGCCGTAGCACACCACAGCTTGATGAGATTGGGGAAGCTATCCTCCCAGTCTGGAGACTTCAACATGGTTGTCAAGCCGGTGTAGAAGCCCTTGTCACTCTTTGGCAGGGTGGCAAGGACAGGGCAGAAATAGTGGACCTCTAGCACAGCCGCTTGCTTGTTGACGCCTGCCAGTAGGGGAAGGGTAGGAGGGAGAACAAGGGGAGTATTAGTAAAATAGGGTAGAGCGGAACCACATCAACAAATTGTGCAAGCCTCAGGGTCAAGGACAGGTGAGATACTAGGAAGAATCTCTTCAGCTTCCCCTGCATGGTAGAGTTCGACCATCATCCCGAACCACTCCAGACATTGGGCCTTCCGTGGAGCACGTTCCCACCCCTTTGGCCACTGGTCCGCACAGAACAGCATCGAACCACCCAGCTACTTCAAGTCCCCCATCCGCTCGGCCAGGTTTTGCACCATGCCTTTGGCCAGCGCCATGCATGCCACGACACAATTGTCGTGCTTGCCCTCACCCGGGTAGCAATCCAATGGCTCCTCATGCAGGTCAAAGCTGAATCGACTCGGGCGCCCATCAGAGTCGACGCCCTTAACAGTGACGCTGCGCATACCGCCAAGACCGTGACGGGTGAGGAAGGTCGTGAGCAGGTCTTTCGGGCCCCCGTTGAAGTCGTCGCCGCAGTCGACGTAGCGGCTTTTGAGGAGGGACGTCACACGGGAGACCGACGCGTGGATCGTTGACATTTCCAGCTGCGGGAAGGGGTTTGAGAATACAGGTAAGACAACAATGGTGCGACAGTAGTGGTTTAGGAGCACCACATGACGAAACTTACCTCGCGGGTCTGGAAAGTCTTGTTGAGAATGTTCATCTGCTCAAGAACATCAGCAAGAAACATGAGCACAAATCAAAACCTGTAGCTCATGACAATCTTGTAAAGACGGTCGTCGGCAAACTTGGACAGCATGACGACGATGGCTTGCAAGACCTTCACCAGCCATCGGATGGCCTCACCGCGTGAGAGCCATCTGACTTGGTGTATACCCTGCAGCTCCAAGCACGTCGAAAGGAAGACGCCTTGGAGGTCAAGAAAGCGCTGGTGCCACGGTCCAGAGCGACCAAGGAACTCGGCCAGCTCCTTGATGACATCATCGATGATCTTGAAGAACGGCATGTCCTCCGTCGCCGCCTTAGCTGCCAGCGCCTCTCTGCACATGGAACGGGGAGAAATCGAACAAACCAGCATGAGTGACAGCTAGTATTGTCCCGAATCAGCATCTGTGCAAAGTGTTGGACACTTAATAATGCAAAAATGAATACTTACCGATAAGCGATGCAGTGACAGGAGACCAGGTGAGGGATACGCATCCGGAAGCAAGTCACCAGGCCGGCTTTCGAGCCCATCATCACCGCCGCCCCATCTGTGCTGATGCCCGAGATGCGGCGGAGATCGACACCAATTGCCTGCAGGTGGGAGAGCAGCAGAGCGAGTAGAGAAGAGGCGTCCGCCTTGTCAGCGCTGAGCAGCGCCAGGTACTCGGTGATGACGCGGAGGTCACGGACAAAAGTGCAGAAGACTATCATGTGCTTTCCTCTGCAACGGTCCGTGCTCTCATCGTGGCTAAGTCCGTTGAAGGGGCTTCGCAGGAGGTGCTCCAGTTGGGTGGTGTGCAGCCAGGTCGCGGTGGATTGCATGAACTCGCCGAAACCGAACCTGCGTTTAATAACTGAATAAATCTCGTTGTTAGTGGCTTGTAAGGATCGAAGGTAAGAATAAGAAGCTTAGGAATCTAAAGGGATATAGGTCTTACGAGTTCGTGTACATCCCGTATCCGCCCTCGGGGAAGTTCTTGAACTTCCACGAGGCAAGGTGGTTGGTGATCGTGACCCATGTGTCCATGGGTTCGTTGGTCTTGCAGCAGGTGTACAGCAGGTCGAGAAGCGCGGTCACTCGCTCCCTCTCCAAATCCGCGACGTGCGGGTTCTGGTCGATTCGCGTCTGGGTAGTAGCGCCCTGCAGCATAACGTTTTGCTTCCCGAACGCGAGGCGGTACCAGCGTGCCTGTTGAACGCTTGTGCTTGTGCATGTGTGATTCCTGGCCCACGACGACCAGTCCTTCCAGAGAGACCTGCATGCTCCAGACAGATGGTACACTTAAAGGCAAGGCACCCATCGTTAGTTTTACACAAAACGAGCCAGGGAAACTGCTATTGCCACCTCGACTTGTAACGGGAATGAGCCTCAGCGTAAAGCTCGGAAGGACTCAGATCCTTCCTGGAGGTTAAAGGTGTCTCGTCTTCAGACGGCTCTTCATCGTCATCAGCAGGTATCGACGCCGGCGGCTCGACAGTTCCCGGATTCGGCTTCGCGAACGGTAACTTGCGCTGGCGGTAGCGACCAAGGCGCTTGGGAGTAGTCGTCGCGGTAGCAGGGCGCTCGACGGCGGCTGGTGCGGACGGACCGGGCCTAAGACTCTGCTCAGGAAGAACGACTACATCGGAAACTGAGTCGGCTACTTCATTTCTTGCAGATTCTTGTTCTCTAGGCGCAGCATCGGCTCTAATCGGGATGCGGGTGAGGCTAGACAATGTCGAGAGGAGCAAGTCAAGCCCCGTGCACAGCTCTGCATGAGGAATGCTACCATCATCGCCTTCTGGATCACCGTCGCTAGGTGCTGCCATCGCGCGATGTCAACGGTAAGAAAATCAGTCACAACCGTGGAGGAGAAACGGAATGACGAGGGGTGGAAGCACTCGACTTGAACGAGGCAACAGGTGTGGCAGCACAGCATCGATTGAAGAGATAGATGAAGATGATGGGGTCTCTTGAGGTTTGTGGAGGGCACGCGGCTCGCAACAAAGTTCTGCATGCATGGATGTGGTTCATGAAGCGGGTCGGTAGCGGTCTACTGCCGTGCTGGTGGGCCAACTGTCTAACATTATACCTGGTCTATTGGCTGCTGTGGCTGTAATTTGGCGATGAGCCAATCCAAACCCTGCAGCTACGCTGTGCTGGAGACAGCAGTGGCTGAATACCTTTGAGACGCCGATGAGAACCCGCCGAGCACTATGTGCTGGATGAAGAATGGCAGAATATTCCCCAGCGGGGCTGAAATCGGGTCGGTCACACTCAAGTCAGCGTGATTGACGGGGAGGGTGGGGGGGAGTCACGAAAATCACGGGGTGGGGGGGTTGGGGCTGGGAATCCGCTATTAGAAGAATCAGGGTCCGGCTCCGATACGACGCTGGAAAAACAGGCCACACTACACTAGGCCCGCTGATCAATCAGAGTTCACTCTTAAAAAAACCCTGAAATTTCAGGCGCCTGTCTTAAAAAAATCCTGTCTCATCAGGGTCACCCCCCCAAAAAGCCCTGATTTTACCCCGAATCAGGGTAAAAAGCCTGCAATCTGAGGCCCTGGCTGGGTGATGCCTAACTGAGCACCTCCGCTAAACCGTCAGACGAGCTGGCGACAAACCGTCAACTCTGTCGCAAGGGATGTTATCAGGGACAACGAGTCGTCATTTCCTGGCATAGCACAGGGAGTACCTGGAGAGCACCCCCACCTCTTTCCTTCGTTTTTGGAACCCTCTTGGGTTGTCCTAGTGAGTTTTGTTTACAGGTGCTCGCCGGAGGAGGGGGGATGTACTGCACAGCTTACAGGTACCGGTAGTAGAAGGAAGGTAGTCATTTGCGGCTAGGCAACCGCAGCGCATGGCGAATGTCACTTTCAGCCAAACAGCTGCTCCGTGCTCATACTGCGAGCAATGAAAGGAGCCCCAGTTCGTATAAGCAGCCAAGAAGCGAACCCAGAAGGTCGGAGGTATATTTCAGGGTGCAGCATGCAACAGGGGAAGCGAGAGGATACCACAGGGGCGCATTATTTTCCTGCAGTACCAAAACAGAGCTAAAACCTTAACAGTGGACCAACTTAGGGACTGCAGATCCAACAGAAGGCTAGAAATTGCTGCACTGGCAGCGAACGGCTGCTAGTAGTAGTCTTCTTGACGCGCCTCAAAGGTAGCTGTGGCAGCAAGCAGCAGCTAGTCTTGAAGCTGGCTGTGGCAGCAAGCAACAGCTAGTCTTGAAGCTGGCTGTGGCAGCAAGCAGCAGCTGGTCATGAAGCTGGCTGTGGCAGCAAGCAGAGAAAAACTGGCGTCCATGGGAAGAAGGGCAAACGGCGCAGCTTTAGATTCAGCTCCCATGGGAAGAAAGAAATCCTGTCAATTCTCAGAACAGCAAAAGCCAGTCACGTTTCTTTCTCTGCTTCCCCCCCTCCACTTCCCCCTCTCCCTCGACCATATCCCCTCCCTCCTCCTCACTCCCCAGCCGTCGCTGCTCACAACCCAACGTTCCACCATTAATATGTTCCTTCCTCCTGCCCTTTTCCCCGGGCCCTCCACTCCCTGCCGTCTCACCCACAGCTTGTATGCTTTCACCCAGATATCTTACCCCTCTCTCCTCCCCACCTTGTGCTCTCCCCTGCTTGCTGCTGCCAGGGGGTGGTGAGTCCTGCTTGCTGCTGCTTCCACTCAGTACCCTCCCCAACACTGTAATCTCGCCTGGAGCCAGCCCCTCCTTGCTGCTCGCTCCCGGCACTTGCCCAAGCATGACAGCACTGCTGAAGCCTGCCCCACCTAGGGAGAGTGAGAGGTCGTGCTCTGAGGGCGGCGCCACCTTGCGATGGGTGGAGCAGGCTAAAACCTGGGGTTCAGTGAAGGGAGATGGTGCCGCTGATGGCGGTGATGACGTCTGGGGGTGTTTCGCAGGTGGCGGTGCCAAAGGTGGTGAAGCCAAGGGCGGTGCTGCTCCAAAACGTACGGGGGGAAGAGTGGGGGGGTCAGCAGCAGGGAGGGCGGCAGAGGGGGCCGCAGGGGGGAGGGAGGTTGGATGTGCAGAGGGGGGGTTGAAGAGGGCGGTAGTGAGGGCAGCAGCAGGAGTGGTAGAGGGTATAGCGAACGGATGAGTTGGGAGGGTGTCGGAGGGCGGGGGAGGGGCGGGAGGTGCTGGAGTAGACTCATGGGTGGAATGGACCAGTTGGGGATGGTGGCTGGGTTGGTGGCTGGGGTAATGGTTTATAGCGGTGGCGTGAAGCTGCAGCTGATGCAGCTGATGCTGTGGCGGGTGTTGGTGGTGCTGCTGTTGCTGCTGCTGCTGCTGCTGCTGCTGCTGTTGCTGGTGCTGGTGTTGTAGCCGGTTTAGGTGCTGATGCTGATGGTTCTGTTGTAGCCGTTGCTGCTGCTGCTGCATCATCACCAGCACTGCTTCGTGCACTCCTTGCTGCTGCTGCTGCTGCTGTTGCTGCTGCTGCTGTGGCTGCTGCGGGTGCTGCTGCTGCTGTGGTTGCTGCGGGTGCTGCTGCGGATGCAGATGATGTTGCTGGAGCAGAGTCTGTTGCAGCTGCGCGTTCTGCCAGCTCACCTGCCTGTGCCTCATCTCATCATCCCCCACCCCTTCACCTTCTGCCTTTGCTTGATGCACACCCAGCAGCACGCTGCCAGGGGCCTGTATCCTGATTACTGCCGCTGCTGCTGCTGCTGCTGCTCCTGCTCCTCCTGCTCCTCCTGCTCCTCCTGCTCCTCCTGCTGGTGCTGCTAACACTGGCTGTGTGCCTGCCTCTGCTGCTGACCTGGCAGCTGCTGATTGGAGAACTGCCTGGAGTGCAGCGGCTGTGGCACTTCCAGGGAAAACGGTGGCAGGACCAGGTGGGTTTACTGCACCAGCAGGGGAATTTGCCCCTGAAAAATGTGGAATTGCTGCAACAGGAGGCGACGTGGCTGCAGCAGAAGGTGGGCGTGACGCTGTAGCTGGGGAATTAACCTCAGAAAAAGGTGTGACTATGACAGGAGATGGAGGCGTAGTAGCGTTTCTGGCAAAAAGAGGTGGGTCGGGTCTGTGGTTCGTGCTAAGTGTTGCTGGGCTAAGAGCTGCTGAACCAAGCATTGCTGGGCTAAGCGCCACTGGTGTTGCAGCGCCAGACGTGGGCGTCGAATGCTGTAAGTCTTGCGACGAGTGTGTTGGCATGAGGTGCGAAGGGGGGAAACTAGGCGGGTGAATAGGAGTGGCTGCCGAATGGTGCAAGTCTTTCAACGAGTGGGTTGACATGAGCTGCGAGGGGGGAAATCTAGGCGGGTGAGCGGTAGCGGGCATGGGATGATGCAAGTCTTGCAGGGGAGTGGGAGCAGGAGGGGGATGGTGGAAGTTGGCGGGAAATGGAGTTGACGGGGACTGGTTGGGATGCGTGGGGGCATAAGGAGGTAGGAGAGGGAAAGGCTGGTGTTGCTGTTGGTGCTGCTGCTGCTGCTGCTGCTGCTGCTGCTGCTGCTGTTGTTGGTGCTGCTGCTGCCGCTGCTGTTGTCGTTGTTGCTGCTGCTGCTGCTGCTGCTGCTGCTGCTGCTGCTGCTGCTGCTGCTGCTGCTGCTGCTGCTGCTGCTGCTGCTGCTGCTGCTGCTGCTGCTGCTGCTGCTGCTGCTGCTGCTGCTGATGATGATACTGGTGTTGGTGGTGGTTGTTCTGCTGCTGCGGGTGCTGCGGCTGCTGGTGTTGCTGCTGCTGCTGCTGCTGCTGCTGCTGCTGCTGCTGCTGCTGCTGCTGCTGCTGCTGCTGCTGCTGCTGCTGCTGCTGCTGCTGCTGCTGCTGCTGCTGCTGCTGCTGCTGCTGCTGCTGCTGCTGCTGCTGCTGCTGCTGCTGCAGGAGTCGTTGCTGCAGCTGGTGCAGCAGCTGCTGCTGGAGCTGCTGCTGTAGCTGCCGTTGCAAGTGATGGTTCAGTTGTATCGAAGACGGGCCCATGCTGCCTCCACCTAACACACTGGCTCCTCCTGCACCCATCACGCTTGAGCCTCCCATGCTCGCTGCTGCCTCCGAGATGGCCTGAGGAGCTGTGAAGCCTGGAAGCACGCCGCCGTTCGCAGAGGGAGGAGGAGCAGCGGCGATGCTGCGGAAAGCATCATCTGCAGCACCTACTGCACTTGCTGCAGCGCTAGCACCAGCATCCGGTACGGGCACAGAAACAGCACGGTTTGGTGCCTCGTGGGGAGCAGCAGAAAGAAAAACCCAATTGGGAGGAGCATGCGGAATTGCCGTGCTGGGAGGAGCAGCAGCAGGGTGCAGTGCCCCATTGGCAGCAGCAGCAGGGTGCACTGCCGCAGCGTGCACTGCCCCATTGGGAGGGCGGAGCGAGGCGAGAGCAGAGAGAGAGGTGGTGGAGGGGAAGGGGAAGGAGGAAGATGAGGGAGGAGGAAAGGCGGAGGGGAAGGTGGAGGGCGGGAGCCATGGGAGCAGCGCGTTGATGCGCATCTGCAGCTGCGCCTGCAGCGATTCCACCTCCAGCCGCAGCAGCTGCCGCTCCCCACGCACCTCCTGCTTCTCCGCTGTCAGCTGATTGGGGGGTGGGTGGGTTGGCAAGACGGGGAAGAGAGGGCGGTGCATTAGTGCGCAGCTGCTGCTGTGCTTCCAGCGATTCCACCTCCAACCGCAGCAGCTGCCGCTCCCCACGCACCTCCTGCTTCTCTGTCGTCAGCTGAATGGGGGAGTGTCAGGGGGGAGAAGGAGGGGGTGGTGAGGGGGTGAGACGGCAGCATCGCATGAGTGTGCAGCTGCAGAAATGCTTGCACCTCCTGTGTCTGCTGCCAGCTGGTTATGGGGAGGGTGGGACGGAGAAGGGCGTGGGAGACAAGTCAAGCCCCATGGAGAGATGTCTGGAATATGGCACGGGACATAATCGGATGGTGTTACTTTATTTTTGCAGAAACGTTGACCGCTCACCTCTTTCGCTTCGCCCGACAGCACCAGGTGCTCGACCCTGCCCCGGTCGACCGCAGCACCCTCAAGTCATTGCTGCTCCTTGGTCCTTGCCTGTCCTTTAGTTCATCCGAGGGTGGGGAATCATCCTCACCTCTTTCGCCTCGCCCGACAGCACCAGGTTTTCCGCCCTCAGCGCCGCCACGGTCGACCGCAGCTCCCTCAGAGCAGCAAGGCTGTCCCCCAGCACCGTCGCCTTGTCACTCTTGGGCTTCCCGGGGTCTGCAGACAAGGGACGAGCTGATCGGGAGTTAATAACCGAGGACCCAATGCAACCCCCCCCCCGGGTGCGGCGAGGCTGTCCCCCATCACCGTCGACTTGTCGCTCTTGGGCTTCCCGGGGTCTGCACACAACAGATAGGGAGTTAATAACCGCGGACGCAACCCCCAGGATGCTGTGAGGCTGTCCCCCAGGACTGTCGCCTTGGGCTTCTCCGGGACTGAGAAAAGAGCACACGAGCAGGATATGGAGGTTCAATGGTGAGCACCAAGCGCAACTCCCTCAGTGCGGCGAAGCAGTCCTCCAGGGCTGTCCCCTTGTCGCTCATGGGCTTTCCGGGGACTGCAAGGGAGCAGATAAGACGGTACAGAGCTTCGACGCTGGGGAGCAGAGCATCACTCCTGGAGTGCGCTGCAGCGATCCCCCAGCAGCACCGCCACCTTGTTGCTGCTGGGCTTCCCGGCGTTTTGCAAGGGAGCAGATAACCATGGTAAGGAGCTTCCCTTGGTCCGCGAGAAGAGCACCCGAGCGGGATATGGAGTTTCAATGTTGAGCATCAAGCGCAACTCCCTCGGTGCAGCACGGCTATCCCCAGTACTGCCGCCTTTGTTGCTGCTGGGCTTTCCTCTGTCGGCCAGCCAGAAGACGTGGAGGTTCAACGCCAAGAATGCCTCGCAACGCACCGCACTGCTATGCACCGCAACGCACCGCAGTGTGTTGATTCGCTGCGCAATTTCCAGACAACAGCGCTTGGATTGCCGCAGAACTTGCCGAATTCCGGGTCGTCACAGCCACTCTCACAGCACTGCTCCAGCGTCTTAAATCATGCCAACCGTGACGGTTGGCATGAGAGTCGGCACGGACATAAACTCGTCCTTGATTTCAAGTCAAAGCGAGTGTGACGGCGAGGAACCTGGGTGTTCTGGCAAGTCAAAGCTAGTAATACCCAGGTTCCTCGCCGTCACACTCGCAGCGAGAGGGTGATCGTTCTGCTCGACCTCCGATAAAGAGAGGGTCATCCGTCGGAGAGTCTCCAACTGGTGGTTAATCTTCAGGATCCCCCTTTCTGAGAAGGGGAATTCGCAGCGACAGACCTGGGTTTCCCGTCAGCGGCTCGAAGTCTAAGTTTGACTTTGAGACGCTCGAAGTAACGATAGAGTGGCACTCACCGAGCACTGTCGCGAGTTCGGTGAACTGTTCATTCAGCTTGTCGCGACGCAACTTCTCTCTATCTGCTTTCTGAAGCTTCTTATCGAAAATGACGTCATCTCCGAAGCCCTTAACTCCCTCCTCCGCCGATCCCGCTGATCTTAGGCTACTAGTTCGTCTTAACTCATCTTCTGTCATTTGTCCGTGCAGAGAAAACCGTTCTTTTCTCGTCGAGATGCTAAATTGCTACCAAAAAAATCCTTTCCGAAATTGCCCTCGGAATAGCTTCAAACCCTTCAAAAGGCCCACACACAAGTTGTGTGAACTTGCGAGGACTGATGCTTCAGTTTGAAAACTGATTCTAGCTTCACTGCTCAACCTGAGGACTGATGCTTCAAGCATGACAGCTGTGCCAGCTAAGGAAGCTGGAGATGAGAAGACAGCGCTGCAAAGTGCATCAGGGGAAGTCCTTGCAACGTTCAGCCCAAGTTGGTTGTTGAGCGGCTGTAGGAGAAACTCTTGACACAGTTCGGAGACTCTCGAGTCTCTCGCAGCTGTCGTTTCACAATCAAAGCAGGAAGAAAACGCTTCAATCGTCGCAGAGGATCGAAGAGATCACCAAAATGTGGCGTCCACGGACTCCGCGCACAGCCTCGAAACCTTGGGAGTGTCGCGCAGCAAACGGACAGCAGCGGCAGCGACTTGACAGCCCTTGAGATAAGATGGGATGGGATGAGGCAACCCTTGAGAAGGTGAAGGGATCCTTGGGGTTCTCATCCGATGTGGCATGTGCGGTGTTGAAAGCATGCCATTTTGAGTTCCCACGGGATGCGATGCGATGCGACGTGCCATCCCCTATTCTTGCGTTCCAAAAGACGGAACGTCGAGCTCATTGCAGAGCAGAGTGCTGTGTCGATGAAAGCCCTGATTTTGAGGAACATGACAAAAGGCCTTTCCGAACCGTCATACTTTGTCTGAGCGTGGAATGGATGTTTAAGCATTTCGCCTATGAGTGGCAAACTCAGGCTGTTACATGCAGCTTGGAAGGCTTGGAAGAAGTCCATGTTCCCTTTCAACTGACCATACACCTAGCAATTTACCTTGAGTTAATGGGAGCCTGCAGCCCAAGCCTCACCACTTGCGATGGGGCCCGCTCGCGCCAACATCGAAACCAATTTTCGACCACACTTCTTCGCCGAATTCAACCTCAGTCCACCACCAGCCCCGAAGGAAGCACGCGAAAGTTTCACCTCGCCACAGAGCTCAGCAGAGCAGAGCCGGACAGCACGTGTGCGGTAGTTGGATGGGTCTGGGAATGGCAGAGCGAATACGATAAGGTTACGAGCCATCAGGAGGAACCCTCTCGCCGCCCTTGTCGCCCATAAAATAAGATAGTGTACTGTAATCAATACAGTGCGACGAGTTTATGAGACAGTAATTAAATTACAGTTCAGTACAGTACAGACAACCACGGATTGAAAACACTGTATTGCGCAACCACGGCTAAAAAAAAAAAAAAAAAAAAGCGACGACATCGTCTTAGGGTTGCGAAGCATTTCATGATGAGACTTTATTATACATAAAATGTTTTATTTCCATCACAAAAAGCATTTAATTTTTATTTCACAAACTTGAAAAAAAACCAGCCCGATCGATTGCAATAGGTTGCTCCGCAACCAAAAAAGAAAAAAAAAAAAAAAAAAAAAAAAAACCATCAACAACTCGACAGCAGGGCTTCAGATTGGAATTTTAGCCACCCGTTAAAGTCCGTCTTCGGCCAACGTCGTACTCAAAGTCCGTTTTTCGGCCAAAATCCTTCGAAACCTACGTTTACAGCCCGTTTTCGAGCCAGAAACGACCCGTGAACCCCCAGATTCAGAGAGAACCGAAACAGTCAAAAGGGAGTTCAGGGTCGGAACAACCGTTAAAGTATCAAAATTCGGTTATTTACCCGTGAAACAATGGGCCCTTGATTGACCAAACGAGGGGGAAAAAAAAACATTTCTCCGATTGTGCATACGTTGCCTGGCGTGACTCTCGGTTGGATCACGTGTGCGATTTCACGTAGGCCACAGCATACACCTGTGAGATTCAGTCTGCCTCCCAACCACGGATCTGGGGGATTCCGTTAGGGGACGATATCGCTCCCTAAATTATCCGTTAACGAGCGGAATCTACGGAAACTTCCCCTTGAGCACACGGTTCCGTTGAACAGGTACTCATCCCACAGACGCCTTCGCCATAGCTAAGGAAGAACGGTGGGAAACCTCAGGTTGTGAGGCATTTCTCGTTCCTGCGATATCTCAGGTTGTTGGGAGAGTGAAACCCGGAACTCCACGCTAGACGGATGAAGTCAGGGAAACCTAAATGTAAACAAGGAATCCCTCCGAAAATTACTCTAATACTCTCTCCGTTGAGGGTAATTCTTCTGTTAGCAAGAGCCCTAGTCCCAACTACAAGATTCTGGTAGAAAAACGGCGCCAGTGGAAAATTCCAGCCTTTTACGAAGGCACACGACAAAGTATGACGAGGATGTTCATTGCGAAATGTGATCCGAAATCTCCCAGATATGAGATCACATCCCATATGATCTTCATAATCAATCTACTATTTTTGACATATTTTCATACTAGGTTATACACTTGCTGATGCTACACAATTACACATATTGCATCTAGTTCCTTTCTACACCCTGACCTACTTTGTTGTTGCCTTGCCGCTTGGAACGGGTTCTTTTCCCCCGACCCGTCCTCCCACAGTGCTGTTGATGTATCGTCGTTTCTAGTGGTGGCTTGGGTTTGGTGTTATGTATGTATGTATGTATGTATGTATGTATATATACATAAACATATTATAGACGTCCTGCTTGTCCCCATCAGCGCACAAGGCAAAGCACAAAGCTGTAATACGTCCGCGCTAGAATACATCATGTCCTAGTGTAAGGAAATGGTATTTCTTTATCACGAGTTTTAGTTAGTAAGGCGTACACTGCTATAACGCGGTCGCCGCGCAGGTGTGCCACGAAATTCAAATCGCGGTACCCAAATGTGGCCTCCTGACGAGCCGCATGCATTTTGCCCGCCTTGCTGTTTCATGCCTAGATTTGGGCACTTCGCGACAATTTACGAACCACACGTCGCAGCTCTGCCGAGCCACAACCGTGTATTATAGGTTGACTATATCCATGCTCAATGCTGTCTTGATGTTGCCTCAATAGTATTGATTCCTCGTTACTCGATCCTTCGACACACGCTCTTTGCGCTTCATTACACATAGTATCAGAGCCAACGATCCTCAGCCTAACGCTCTAGTTCCGTTGCAATACCGACACTCAGGGAGATTGACGCCATGTGCTTACTAAATATCTGTTGTCCTCATAACATTATTTGATAATTACCTACAGCCACGACTATGTTCGTAGTGTCAGCGTGTCGAAAGCCACCCAAAAATTCCGCAAAATTGTGGAGGCGTCGACGTCTGATACCACGACTCGCGAAGAAAGGGCGGCAACACTTTAATAAGTCTGTCTTACTCACGAGTTGTACTAGCAGGAGTAGGTGCGTCTGCAAGCGGAAACGACCCAAGCTGAATCTGTGATATCTGCACTTCGGAGCGGACTGCCTCAGACACGATACGACTTGATCGCACCAACAACAAACCAAGGACCACAGGAGCAAGTAACTCAGCAGTGTTCCAAAATACCTGGCGACAATCAGCGGCCACATGTAACTGCGACCGAGAGTTCGACGAACAACCCGTCACCAGCTATTGGAAGAGCGGAAGTTGGCGAAGGGGCGAGCATAAATCTGCCGCCCCCCCATAACTTCCCCAATCGGACTGAAAACTGCAAGAATCAACATGGCGCCGGGAATTCCTAAGACGCAGAGGCCGCCCACTCAATCCAGTGTGGCAGTTTCTCCGTTAGCGGGTGGATTTTCACCTAAATATTTTTTTTATCACTACAAGCTCGTCGTCAACGACGCGCAAAAAATCTGATATGCTGTTTCACTCCTACGTGGATCAGCGATGCTTTTGTGGCATCAGATTATTCCGTCGCAGGAGCCGGATACGTCGCCGCGCGTGATCGGGCATTTTTGCACAACCAATCACTGGGCATGAAGTTATTGCGAGGTGGACGAGTACAGCACGTGGCAAACGTGATGGGTGGGGATTCATCGCCGCTTCAAGGACGTCAACGCAAACAGCCAAGCGCACAACCGCCTTCACACGTAGCGCCAACTCGGATTGGACCGGAACTACCCCAACGACTTCAAAAATCTATACGACCAGGTCAACTACATTCACACTGAGGAGAAGTTGGACAAATTCATTTGGTGACTTTGACCGGATCTGCGCAAAGAAGTCTACGAGAAATAACATATTTGATGGAGGCGACAAGGGTTGCAGAGTAGCTGGATTTGTTCTACAAGCCAAGGGCGGTTTCTTATGACGGAAATCGCACTCAGGGACCAATCGAGCGTGCCACTGTACACGCTGTTACAACATCGAACTCATCAGTTACAACCTTCAAGGGCCGTGGTTTCGGGTGTAACAGGTCAGAACACTGAGAGTCGGAATGCCCAGAGTGGAAGAAGTGGAATCAGAGGCAGGGGAGTTCTGTGAGAGTACGACCCCGTTACACCAATTTCCTTATCCATATCTCCTTTCTAATTCATTCCTCTTTTTATCTCATCCCATTTGGTTTCATATTCCTCATTTCTCATTATCCTTTGGGTTATCCTATTATTATAATTAAGTACATACCGACCAGGCTCGGGATGTACTGGCACACTACAGTCTATCTAGCGTAATCCTGTTGTAATCTCTTAAAGCCAATAGTCTCGCATGGCTATACGCAGGGTGATTCTATTTCTAGAAGGGTCTATTCCCTTGGGATAGGATAAACCTGGTTACCTGATGTACTTTGGAACTGCAACTTGTATCAATCGAGAGTGCAACTTTTCCTCGACACATTCGGTTCTGTGACACTTGGTAATCAGAGTTTTTCTCACCCTGCCGCGCTCAGCTAAGCAGAAGCAGCGGGAAAACCTGCCTCGAAAAACCGTCGGGGGCGACTAATTCGGCGCCGATTCTGGTAAGCACCAGCTCCGTGTTTTTTCGAATTCACCCTTCCGCGCGTGTTTTGAACAGGATGGCGAACTTCGACAACGTCGGGGTTACAGTACCCAGCAGCTCTTCGCGAGCATCGCCGCCCTTCAGGAGGAGATGCGAGCCGATCGCGAAGCTTGGCGAAACGAGTTCGAGCGAGTGACTCGACTCGCCGGGGCGCAGCACGACACGACAACAGCGACGACACAGCCCTCTCAGCAGTTTCTCGAGGCTCCGAAACCACGCCCACCTAAGCCGTTTGATCGGAGCGATCGAAATTCCGACGCCCGCAGATGGATCGTCGGCATGGAGATCTACTTCGCAGCCGTCGGGTGGAGCTCGCCAGTCTGGGACGGTCAACGCGTAGGACTCGCGGCGACACTGATGCGAAGACTGGCACTCGAGTGGATCGGCGGTAACAGTACCTTCATCCACGGCGA